TCGCCGCGCCTCGCCGCCGCAGCCATCTTGGGGAGGGGGTAGCCGGCCGCAGTTTGTAGTTAGCCGGTAGTCTGCGTGAGCCCAGCTGGTTTATCGCCGCGCCTTGCCGCTCCGCGCCGCGCCGCTGCAGCCATCTTGGGGAGAAGAAAGAACGTTTCGCGCCAGGTTGAAGGAAAGCATTGAAGAAACAAGAGCGAGGACCAGTTTCACTCGACCCTTCAGTCAATGTTCATAAGTAACTTTTATACGTTCGGTGCTGGGTGCTGCTAAGGTATGCTTTGCGTTAGCCAGATCTTTGCAAGCTGCCACGCACTACGGAGTTCCTGTGGCCGCCGATGCTTTGGAGGTTGAGGCGCCATCAGTTTTCTTGATGCGCCTGGAAACTAATGTCCTGAAGATCTCATTTCCAAGGCCGAAAATTGTCACTCAGCAGTTGTTGTGCGCAATATATAACCGATTAATAACCGACCGTGAAAACGCCGGGCGACCTTCGCCAGGACATGGCGCTTGAGAGGCTGACCTACCTGAAGAAAGCAACGTTGGAAAAAGCAACGCTCCGCAAGCAATAAGGTTGATTGCCTCTAGATGTTCAGACCGCCTTGCAGACCATCAGCTCATAGCCTAGACGTGGCAGGGTTGCTTGAAGGCCATCTAATTGCTAACCATGCGTCACATTGTCAGCGCTATCTAGTATTCATTGCAATTTGCAATTTGTTGTTCAGTTAGCGGCTGGTCCGTAAAAGCTTGTGTGAAACTGCCAGATGTTGAATGTGCACGGCCATGCGCAGTCATCAGTCAGTGGAATGCAGCGCTTTGTTTAGCTCAAGCTATACAACCCGACTTTTCAATTCGAAAGCCCATTCAAGGACAGGGTTGACCAAGCAAACGCAGACCAGCTGCTTGTGTTGTGAAAGGCGCGGTCAATTGAAAGCTAATTGGATTGTAGTGTCCCGCTTGTGGCCTTGGACGTGGCAGGACCATCATGGCCTCAGCGCAAGTGGTTCGCTACATGGGCGTGGTGCGGGTGGCCGGCGACGGATCGTGTTTGTTCCACAGCCTGGCACTCCATGAAGGCGGCAGCGGCGAATACCTCAAGGCGGAAATCATTGATTTCATTGTCAATGTCTTGGCCGTTCCAGATGAAGCCTTGGCAGAGGAATGGTTGCAAGAGGCCGAGCATTTGCGGGGTGATGCTGCGTGGGGTGGGCACATGGCTATCATTGCTTATTCGGCCATGCGAGAAAAGAGGGTGGTCATGCACACCAAGTTGGCCCAGGGAGGCGTGCAGGTGGACGAGCAAAGCCACGGGTCGGTCCACGGCAAGCAGGACGCGTCAATGGTCCACATCCTCTACAACGGGGTTGATCATTATGATGCCTTGGTTGAGGTCAGTGATGCCACGGGCATGATGCCAGCCTGGGAGCAACCGCCGCCGCCGAAATACCTCAGCACTGCCGCTGATCCATTTCCACCCTTGAGCAAGGAGATCCGTGCAAAGGCAAGTGGACCAGGCTTCACAGCACCAAGACCGACCAAGAAGCCGAAAGCAAAGAAAGCAGACAAGCCAAGCGGGAAGGCACTTGAAGAAGACATGGAGATTTTAGAGGAGAACTTGATGGAGGAGCTGGAGCGGATCCCTGTTGCTGCCACATCAAACCACCCGCATAGGCTGGTGGAGGACCGCATCAAGGACAGGGAGAATAGTGAACCAAAGGGTTTGCTGCTGCTATGGCTTGCTCAGGTTTGCTGAAGGTTTAGGATTTTACTCCAGAGCCACGGTAGCTTGAGGAACGCATGCTTTCAAACAATTCGATTTTTAACCTGCAGGATCTGGCGGCCCAGCGGATCCGTGCCCAGCCAACATTGCCACCAGGAGTGGGCTTGGACACTATGGACGCTGGCGAGCTGTGGCCTTCGGTGTTTTGCGCCTTTAAAGATTGCACCTGGGCAAAGGCTGATGGAACAGAGGCAGATTTGCAGCAACATCTTCATGAGCACCACGCGGAGGCGTTGCAGCCCATCTGTGCTGGCATGCTGCGGGGCAGGGCTGCTGACGCTTACCTCAGCGCTTATAACCAAGCCATTGCCGTTAAGTGTCGCAGCCAAGCGCCCATCGCTGGAAGTTCCCTGGATCGCGCAGCTCTGAAAGGTCTTGCAGAAGCCACAGCCGGAAGTAAAGTGGAAGCCTTGGTATGCTTCTGTTGCGGCGGGGTCCACCCCTATGTCGAAGAAGTTGCAGCTAAGGGCAACATCAACTGGCATCGGCCGCTGCAACGGGACGAGTCTGATGGCCAGCTCTACTTCCTTGAGCAACCTCTGCAGGTTATCGAATCCTTGCTAGGACTGCAGACTTACCTCAACCGATACAACGCGGTGGAGCCAAGGCCGCAAGTCAAGCTCACAGATCATGAGACCTTTGAGGATTGGCGATTGAAGCTACCGGAACTGGAAGACGGCATGTTGCTTTGCTGCCCCGAGGACCTAGCGCTGTGTTGTGTTTATATTTGTCTCTGCTGTTTTGAACATAAAGAAGAATGCGTGTGTTGGAAAATAATGGTGCATGTAGAACAACCTCCCCTTTGATAGCCCAAACGCCTTGTGTGAGGACCATCATTGCTGCCAAGAGCATTCTGCACAGCCGAAGGCCTTGTGCGAGAAGTGTTGGCTGCCAATTTGCAATGACTGCTTGGGGCATCTGTCAGAAGGAAAGTTGCCGCCGCTCAGCTACGCCAATGACATGTGGACCGGCTATGGCCTCGAAAGGATCTACCAACAGCAGGTCACGGCCATCGAGCTCATTTGCGCTTCGCCATGCTTGACGAGTCTAGTGCTGCTGTCCATGGAAGGCAAACACAAACAACAAGCAGCTGTCTCTGTTTTTGATGAAGAAGCCCACATGGCCAGGCATCGGTATGGCGCCAGAGGCAACGCCATAACCTTCCCCTTGCCAGTGGAAGCTTTGCTACAGCAAATACAAGAGCACACCTCGCCTGAGACTGTTGGCGCAATGGACCATGTGCCACGGAGCGGCAAAGAGCTAGGGGAAGTCTTTCGCGTGATCCTAAAGACCAACAAATCTGGCAAGGCCACGGAAGAGGAGATCAAGACCTTGATTCATCAAGCACGGGTGCGGAGACAGGTGTGAGGGTTGTAGCTACTGTCACGGCAAACGGTTTTGTCGGTGGTAGAAGAAATTGCAATAAGAGCATCGGTTCGTGTAGCCCGTCGCCTGCGCAGGTGGTGGTAGACTTGATCCTAGACATGAAGAGCCTGGGGCATCCTTCTTTCATTGATTTGGACAGCGAGAAGGTGAAGGAGAATGCAGCCGGCCTGCCAGAAGACGGAGTGCCGCCAGAGGTAGTGCAGATCCTACAACAAAAAATGGGAGCAGACGACGGGCCCATGGAAAGCAAGTTGCAGCCCCAGAAAGCCGCCACGCCATCTGAAGCACCAGTGGAAAATGTCAGCGAAGCAGGGGTCAGCTTTGCTGCACAGAGGCCCCACGCAGTAGTGGCTGAAGGCCGAAGCACTCACTCTGCCCAAGACGTTGAAATGTCCGCTCTCCAGGACATGGTGGCAGAGCTCAGTGCCCCGGCAGAGTTGCAAACGTTTGAGATCAGGGCTGGCAACCAACTCCTGGACATGTTCCGCCCTTGCTATTGGTCCCTGGCCTTCTGCTTCCTCTTCAAGCACGCCGCCGCAGAGCCGGATGTGACGAACACCGTGGCCAAGCCCGAGGAAGTGCAAATGTCAAGAAGACGCAGGGGCAACAAGAAAGCGCCAGAAGTCGGCATTCATTCTTGGGCAGCGGCCATGCAGCGACAAGTCGCTTGCCAATTCCGCCGTGATTGGAACTTCAGCCCGGCCCTGTGGAATTACATCTTCCGGACCATGATCAACTTGCAGCCCAACTCCTCCAAGTTCACAGTACAAGATTCAGATGGAAGTGGCCGGCGCAATCTGACCCATGACGAGCTCCGGAAAGCCGCGGAGGAGATCTGCAGGACGGTGAAAGACGGCCTCTATGTCGACATCAACGGTGAGCACAAGGCCGTCAACGGCGACCTCACCAAGCTGCGGCATGTGCCCACTTTGTCCGCTGCCGCCCACAAGATGCTCACCAACGTGGAGGCCCGCACCCGCAACGTGGCCGGAACCCACGAGGTGCGAAGCACCATGCGGCATCAGACGCACGCTTACCGCGTCAAATACGGGTTGGCCATCTTCATCACCTTTTCGCCATCCGAGCGAGATTCCACCCTCATGGTCCGAATGGCCCGGGCCAGGCAATCCGATCCAGCCATTGCGCAGGACAGCAGCAAGCGCTTCTATGGCCGAGCGAAGCCCCAACTGGATGTGGAATTTTGCTGCTTGTCGCCGGAGCGGCTTGCAGAGGCAAGGCTTCAACCGAAAGAGGGGCTGAATGTAAAACTTAAAACTTGCCAGCTTGCAAAAGTCGCATGCTCTAGAAACTGGGTATACGCAAAGCACTCGGTGGCATGCATTCTCGCATGCTCATGCCTTCAGCCCCTGTGCCAGGAATTGCCCAGCTACGATGCAAGGCGAGCGCTTCTGGCAAGAGACCCGCTGGCTTGCAACTATGGCTTCCAAGTGTTGGTGGGCCTGGCTCTCAGGCACATCTTTGGGATGCGGTTCTGTCCGCGCTGTCCCAATTGCAGCTGCTCGGGGGAACCTTGCGCGGACGCATTCGGAAGCAACGCCACAGCAAGAGGAGGCGTGTTTGGTCGCATCGATGCAGTCTACGGCTCGCTGGAGTGCCAGAAGAGTGGAGCATACCATCTGCATGGCCAGTTCTTTCTCCAATGCGTCCATCAGTTCACACCTTTGAGCGAGTTGGTGCGCTTGGGCACCAAGCCGCTGCTGGAGTTGTTGCGGAAGTATTCTGATTATTCAGCGCATGTGAGAAGGATGGTGTACTGCGATCAGGCCACTTGGGAAGCGAAGCAGAAAGAAATCGAGGACCAGTGGCCCGAATACAAGACGTCCACCTTGATGCACAGCCGGCCGGCCTACCAAAGCGACTCCGACATGCCAGCATTGACTTGGAAGACGGCCTACCTGGCAGAGGATGTCGAAGTGCTGCAGATGCACAAGCAGCACCACGTGCACATGGTGGACAAGCAGGGAGTCAGGCAACCACTAAACCATTGCAGAGATCGGCGGGATCCAACCAAGTGCAAAGCCAACTTTCCGAGATACAAGTGGATGACAGAAGAGCCCTACTTGGTTTGCCCCGGTATCGCGGAGGCCAAGGACATGCCACACAAAGGGAAGCGAAGCGTGGTAGGCTTACCTTGGGGACCCTGCAATGACAGCAACCTGAATGGCAACCACCCTGCTCTACTGGTAGGCCTGCGGTGCAACGGTGACGTGCAGCTGCCTTATCGATTTCCAATCACCATGGACACCCATGACCAGGACCGATGCCAAAAGCAGTGCGCGGAGAAGATGCCCATCTGGCAGCTTGTGAGGGAAGCTCAAACAAATCAAGCAGCGCAAGCTGGCTACGCCACCGACTACCAGAACAAACGCTTGCCATTTGCAGTGCTTGAGACAAAGGAGTGGATGAAGGGTCAACAACATCTTTACGAGGAGGTGAAGGACAAGAAGACGGGCTATGTGGGGGCCAGAACCACCAAGAGGTTGATCACAGACTGCTACGGCCGAGGTGTGGTGCGCGGTGCTGTGGAGACCTGCAACCTCATCCTCAATGCCTCTCAGCAGGATCCGACCTGGGCTGAGTCCATCAAGACTGCCCCGGTTGCCGATATCTCTTTACAGTACCCTTTGCAGCTGCTAGGCCACATAGCAAACGAGCAGCCCTGGCCGCAAGAACCTCGCAGAACCAAAGTGGACAAGCGCAACCCGCTGAGGCATGAGATCACCGACTCGCCATTTTGGACCTTGTATGGTGGAAGAGGGCAACGGCCAGAGGTGCACATGCTGTCTGCCTATGAGTTTGCGAGTCACTTCTACATCAAGCAGGCCAGGCATCCCTACAGCTTGAGGCGGCAAGAAGAAGACCCAGACAGCTTCGAAGCCAGGCTCACACCAGATGGAATCGAGAAAGTGAGCAAGAATAGCAAGAAGTTGGTCGCAGGCTTGGACTACGTCATCAAAGAGGATGGCGGAGAAGGCTGGCTGCCTTTGGGTCAGGGTAGAATGGTCCAAGCCTATCGCCATGATTGGGTCATTGCAGCTCGACGACGGCCTTATGTCTCTGTCATCTTTGGGGCGCAGAGCAGCAGGACCAAGGAAGAACAAGCCATGAGGATCCTGGTTCTCTACTTTCCGTGGGTGAATGATCCTGCAGACGGTTCATCACAGGTGCCTTTCATCAATGACATGTGGCAGCCAGGCGTGTCAGAGTGGAAGCAAGCACTGCTCAGCCATGCTGCAAATGTTGGCTTTCTGACAGAAGAGGTGAAGCGCTTGGTCATGAGCTTTGTCTTCACCTATTGCTTGCCACGCCAAACGCGCTTGGTTGATGGGCTGGAAGAGAATTCGGACAACGAGGACGTGGAGGATGACCTGGTGGACTTCACGCTGGGCGGGGACGACTTGCTCCAAGCCACTTTGACCCATGTGAGAGGTAGCGGCCGCCGAGAGCAAGCCACGGAGATCAACAGCTGCAGTGATGTCGATGTCGATGGTGGTGAGGGAGCTTTAGCAGAACAAGCCGACCCAACGAGGCTCTATGACATGACCATGGAGCTCTTTGGGCTGTCTGACGCCATTTGGCAGAGAGAAGGCAAGACCAGTGACCCAGAAGCAAACAGGCGGTACGAGCAGCTGCTGAAGCAGGTGGCAGCCGGCGACCCCTTCGACCACGACACTGCAAAAGCAGCGGCGAGGGCATCGAGCAAGGCAGGCGAGAACGCGAGCCAAACTGGGAAGAGCGGGCTCATCGGCCGAGTTGACGCTGAAGTGGAGGCAGGGCGGCGCGGTGGTGCTTCATAGGCTCAATGTGACGGTTGACTTGAAGAATGAATGAATTTCCACACGCATGCCCATACACGATGCAACGTTGATTGAATCAAATGAGCGCTTGATCCAGATGCGCCAGGAGCGGCCAACGATATCCAGGGCTATGATTGAGGATTGGCTTGAGGGGGCCAGAAGCCAGGTCAACGAGAAGCAATTCCAATTCTTGCAAATCGTGGTGGACAGGCTGGTGGTGGAGCTTGGCCTGCAAGATGCTAGCGCATCCCTCCGCGCAGACGGTGCGGAGCCTTTGCGATACCTCCTCCATGGGCCGCCAGGAACGGGCAAGTCTCATGTCTTGAAGTTTGTTCAAGAGCTCTTCTTGCTGGTCGGAATGAAGAAAGGGATCGATTTCCAGTTCGTTGCCTTCCAGGCCACCAACGCTGCAGACTTGGGCGGAGAAACGATCCATCACACCTTTGGCTACAACCGCAGCAAGAGCAGCTTCGAGCGGGCCATGAAACCTGAAGCAGCAAAGCGGTTGGCCTATTGTCGATGGCTCTTCGTCGACGAAATCAGTTTGGTGCCTGCGGACCTCTTGGCCCAAGTGGAGCGGCGACTTCGGGAAGTCAAGCCATCAGCCGACGTGTGGAAGTGCGACCCCAGCAGCGGCCACGTTCGGCCATTTGCGGGCGTGAACCTCATCGGCCTTGGTGACTTCAATCAATTGCCTCCGCCGCAAGGTGGCAACCTAGCAGACATCCCTCATCATCTCCGGTGTGGGCCTCACGACCGATGCAAAGCACCAGACCCAATGGCAGACGCCGGCAGGAGATTGGTGTGGGAGGACATCCAAGGTGTCGTCGAGCTGACTGAGCGGGAAAGGTGCAAAGACGAATGGTGGAACGAGGTCACCGATCAGCTGCGGGCCGGGCAGCTCTCGGACGAGAATTGGCGCTACCTCCTTGGCAAGCCGGTGGAGGGATGCCAACTGTCGCCAGAGGAGCGCGCATCTCGATGCAGGCTTATCACCGGGCCGGAAGATTCCAGGCTGCAAGAGCTCAAGTTCAAAGAGGCCCCTGCCATCGTGGCGAACAACGACGCCAAATACCAAATCAACAAAGACCGGGCAAAGAAGTACGCCCACGACGCGAAGGCAGAGCTACGATGGGCCGTGGCGAGAGATGTGGCTGGCACCGAAGCCCTGCAGGCACAAGCTTGTGATAAAGATGCCAAGATCAAGCTCTTTGGCTCGTATCAAGCAAAGCATTTTCTTGCATTATGTTTTTGTTTGCGCATAGGAGCGCCAATCATATCAGGTGTTACGTGTGCACTAGCTAACTGTTTGCTGGAAATGCGCGTGTGTGACTCAGGTGGTTGCAATACCACGACAAGGACACGGCCAATCTGATGGGCACCCTGCCTCTAGCCATTGGCATGAAGGTGGCCTTGACGGAACACATCGACCGCTCTGAGCTCTGAGGACAAGCGCTTGCTGCGTGGTACTGTGGGCCATGTGCATTCTTGGGTTTGGGAAGGCAACTCGCAGCGCCCGTCCATCGTCTATGTGAAGTTCAAAGGCGCAGAGTGGCAGCTGGAAGGTGTGGAGGAGCCAGGCGTTTATCCCATTGTGCCGAGGACAGGAGAGTGGTGGCTGGACAGAGGTCGCAAAGTTACAGTGCTGAAGGTGAAGCGCACGCAGCTGCCACTGACACCTGCCTACGCCATGACGGCGCACTCGAGCCAAGGGAAAACATTGCAGGCTGTGCTCTTGGACCTGAATGTGGACAAGAAGGTGGACCCAACCATTGGGACAGTGTCCGCAACGCGGGTGCGCAGCCGCTACGATGTCCTCATCCTGCGGCCCTTTCTTGCGTGGCTCTTTCAACGAAGTGCTTCAGACGGGCCACAGTTGCTGCTGCAGAAGTTGCGAGGTGAAGAGGTTGACTGGACAGCCTATAGAGAAGCCCGCAGGCCAGCAGCAGCGTGCGAGAAGTGCTGGCAGATTCTGCCATTGGATGCCTTTGAGCAGAAGCAGTGGGAACGTGTCCGGGCCAACAACCTGGCAACCTGCATGACCTGTGCCACGGGCAAGCCGCCATCTCATCGTCGAAAGCTGGACGCGAACAGCCTGCAGAAGCACGAGTGCTTGGGCTGCAACACCATCAAGATTGCAGAAGCATTCCCCGGGCGCAGCTCACACAACCAAAGGCAGAGACAATGAGGCGGTGTTTGAAATGCTTGCAAGTGAAGAGGGCAGAGGAAGGAATGCAATGCAGGAAATGCAGCCAAACCAAGATGCCGGCAGACTTTGCCCCAGCCATGGTGACTATGCCCGCTGTTGGTCTTATCTGCGTTTCTTGTCAAGATGAAGTGGCCCAGCAAATCAATCGACTGCGGAAGGGTTTCTTCAAGTGCAGAGTTTGCTTCAAGATCTTCCCCAGCGAGGTCGCGATCGGCAAAGACCGAGGGCAAACGTGCCCCAACTGCGCCTCCAGAGATACAGACAACCGGGAGAAGGGCCTCCAAACATGCCGCAGGAAGACATGCAAGAGGAAGTTCGCAGATGGATGGGCGCAGGACGGCAAGAGGCATCGATATTGTCCAGATTGCCGCCGGTACTAGGTTGCACACCTTTGGCTAAAGCGCCATCGCTGCAGCGGATCCTTATCCGGGGGCAAAAATGGACGCAGAGTTAACGTAGTTTGGGCTAGCGCGAAGCATGCCCATGCACAATCACCAGAAAGCTTGCAGGCAATGTCTCCCGTTGCGAGCAGCTCACGTGCATCCACGCATTCAAGTTTGCTTGCGCTTGTCGTGTACACCCAAGTTCGCGCTGTAGCATGGTTCGGCTCAAGCGTGCAAGAAAGGGCATTAACGCTTTCATTAGAGCGTAGGGCGGGCGCCGCAGAAGCTAGGAATAGTTTGTTTTACGCCTTCGTGCTTGGGGATATACAATCCAAGCCTTCAAACATTCGGTTCCTTGGAGCAGAGGGTCCATTCTTCA